TCGAGGGAAGGCGAACAGTGCGCAACGGTCTCTTTGTATTCGCATATGCCTTGAGGACGCACACACACACACACACACTTTATATTCCAGTCGAACCAGTCCAATACTTCCGATACCTTCAGAAATGCCGAGCAAACTTCATCCTCCCGATTCGTGTATGGATTTGGTTCCGCTTTTGGGCCATAATGTATCACAATTTTCCAACGTTTTTTAAGGGTGGAGTGGGCGGTGATACTTTAGTCAATCCATCCTGTTCTTGAATCCTTGTGGGGTAGGGGCTTTGTTTTCTTCTCGTTCCCTTCTTGATTGTGTGTTCAACGAAAGGTCATCCGGCTGATCGATGATTCTTCTCTAACATCCAATGTGCTGTTACTAGCTCGTCATCGGGCAGTTGCTTCGCTGTCGTTGCTCTATCGTTACTGCTTTGGTTTTTCGTTCTTCGGAGCCTGTCTCGACAGTTTCTTCGTCTGTAACTTTTACCAACCCATCCCGTCCACGGGCATCCAATCATCCTTATCAGATTTCAGGTCGAAATTCGTTGCTTTCATCTTCTTTGATCCCCCCTAACTACCACCAAGTTGTGGAACACTCTCACACTTTTTATCTTTTCCCCAACGTTTAAACGCAAAATCAATAAACTGGATCTTACATAAATTTTCCCTTACTCTCCACTTTACAGTATGCTCTTTGTCTATGAGGATTTCCCGTTCTACCCTTATTCACACTATGTGTATTGAAAAAAAGATCTTTAATTAAAGTGAGTCTATTTACTGGTTGAAAAATTTAATGATAGATATCAGTTTTTCCTTTTTTTATTTTACTACAAAGAACTTTCCAGACGACTGTTCCGAATAGAATTATGATAAGCTAGAAATTGTATCCCGTCAAAATGACTTAAAGAAGTTAGGCAATTGGTGTCGTGTCTTACCACATCGTACGGTCCCGATGGGATAGTTACTTCTCTCGCTCGATCACGTTCAATAGATCCGTCCTGGTTCTTATTCATGGGTTATCGGGATTGGATGACGGAGTGTAAAAATGCTCGCACTCATAATATCTTTATTGGTATCAACAAGGTGGATCTCGAACCGGCATATGGATTCATCCTCCTGCTCGAACTCGGAATCATGGTGACCGGTGTGATATGGTTGAGTGTCACAAGCAGTTGCACTCGTGCATCTTCTCAATTTCTGTGCAACCCCAAATCTACTGGAATTTTTCATTTTCTTCGCGACTCTACCAGCAACTTTCCAAACTTTCTTCTCTATCCTTGTCATCCCAGTGGGCAGCCAGAGGGTAGCAGCAACCAAAAAAGGTGGCGCACAAAAGTGCTTGGCTAACGGTTGTACAAGTTGAAATTGAACTGAAATACGATGCGATGCTGAAATAATCGCACTAGGGGGGTGAGGTGGGGGACGAATTCTTAAGCCTGGATTCCAATACGCTTAGGCTTTGCTTGTTTTTCAATAGGATGCGATAAAGTGCACAAATTGCAACGTTCACATTTCAGTTCATGTGACAATTACACTGGCTTCAACACTACTCGTTCCCGGGTTTTTTTTTGTATCAATCCTCGCTAGGGTGGCGGTGATCGAGTGGTAAGGTCGTCAAAATAATCAGATGGAGGTCTTGTGTTCGAACCCCATCATTGTCATCCATTTTCACATTGCTATATTTCCCCAAGTGGCAACCTCTATGGTCGCGGTACATTTCCTTAAATTTTATATATATATATATATATCACGTCTGACGCCAGACTGTGTCAAACAAATCATGTTACAAAAATCTTTATAAAAGAAAACCGTTGCATGATTTGCATGTGGGCTGAATACGGCCAGGTTGCCCAGGCCAAGGCAGGTGAATTTTTTCTG